GGCAAGTCTGGGGTAGATTGAAGATGGGCGATTGTGCACGAGAATGCCATCATAGTTTCCATGATGGAAGAGTAGATGCATAGATGCCAAGTCGGGTGTTAGCTTAGACGGCGGCACCTGGTGCAAATAGGAAACTCTGTGACAGATAGTCCAAAACGCCCAGAAGAATCCGCCCATACCTATTATCAATCGTGGTGGTGTAATAATGTAATTGTCTTGGGGACACGGACCCGGTTGGAAATAGGCAAGTCTGTTTGTAAACACCATGCAAGCCATTTAGCAGTGCATGGAAATCAGGTGGCGATCTTGCCCTGGACGGGGTCTGTGTTGAAAATAGGCAACTGCCAACCCTTAATTCGAGATAGCCCACTTTGTGAGAAATGCAGATACGATACGAATACTACTAACTAGTGCCTCATCACGGTCGTGATGCAGCCATGTTACCCTAATTGTTTTGTGGATGGGCAGGATCGTGCATATAACCTACCCTCCATAGGCTGGCGAGGTTGGTCGGGCCCCATATGTTGGTAGGTATCTATGGAAAGTAGGTGAGGCAGCCCGGTCTATGATCCTGATCCTGACTGATCCTGATCCTGACGTTATGTCTCCGAACAGGGTAGGTACTACAAAGATAGATGTTGAAAAAATGATATGGGGGTGAATACTAGTAGACAAGGGCAAAAAATAGGCAACTATGCTGCCGTTGGGCGGCTGCGGCCAATCGCATATAAGAAAGGGGAAAAAAACAGAAAGGAGGTATGGCTGTGATGCTACCCTGCTCGCCAAAGAAGAGTGGGTTGCGATGCGAAACCGTTCGTGGGTTAGCAGCGACTGGTTGCTGTCTATGCTGTCGACGGCAGGTACAGTATGCATGCAGGGCCGGGACTGCGCATACTGACTATTAGATACATAGGTACACACCTAGGTACTGGATGGATGGACGCAAGGACAGTATATGATATAGCATCCGATTGACTATAGTGAAAACAGGCAAGTCTGTTATAGATAGGCAATTGCGTGTTATCGCATCATGCAGCGGGAAAACGTTAGGGAGACTGATAACCATGTGCACGAGTCAAGATAGCAGGTGTTGTGGTATATCTCGGGTTTGGTATAGAGTTAATGTGTACGTATTGCGTATAATTCCATCATGGGCGAGATGCAACTTTGTGCCTTTGATGGCGGTTTGGTGGTGGGGAAGCAAGGAAGGTGAGGTGGTCTATGCATGTGTGTAGTTAGGTTGGGTGGGTGTGAGTGCCCAGCCCGGCGGCCTGACTGATTGTATCATGATAGGCTCAACCGGTCAACATGAGCCAGAGGGGTTGACGGAGAGGATAGGTCGGGATGGGGTAATAAGCAGTACCTTAGCCTCGAGAGTAGCCCGGTTAGCAGTAGTACCTGCCGTACCGTACCTTAATCTAGGTAAGGTAGGCGACCTAAGCAAGGCAAGAAGAACCCGGAAGGGAGGGGCGTTCGGAGTAACTACGTAGGTTAGTCGTAAGGCAAGTGCAGCCCGCGCCTAGAGAGAGAGGGTGATACTACCTACCTAGTTCCTTCCTAGTTTCTGCCAGATCAGATAAGCATACGCGACATGTGCAGAAAATCGCGGGCAATCGCAGTCAATCGCAGCAGTTGCAGAAGTCGCTAGCCTGGATATCGCCAGCCCAGCGAGTCGGCTTATTCTAGCTCTTGAAGGACTTGCGACGCCATCGTTCGAAAACCATTGGCTCGGACTAATTGCCCTCCGCGTATGCGAGTCCGATTTGATCCGAAATTCCAAATCGTGGCTGCATCGAGAGACAACCTTAGAGCAAACGTCTGTGTGCGCCTAGTCCTAAAATCGACGACAAATCGACCCTGCAGATAATTGACAGACCACCTACACACACTCTTTTCACACTTCAAAATGATGGTTCAAGGTACCCAGCACCGAGAAACTCCGCACTGCGGTACGGCCATATCTCCGAGACGACCGACTTTCGGGGACGGAGTATCATTTGATGGGCAATCTGCACAATCTGCACCTGCCCCTCGGTCAAGAAACCCCAACTGGGGCAAGACATCCCAACTGGGGTCCGCATCCACATGCATCTATCCCACACAATCTGCCTACCTTAGCTACAGTATGTCCAATGTACCTAGGTATCTGCCCACGCATCCACACATCCACATTCTCTACTCAGACCACACCGCGCACTGACAGTAGACAGACACACATCGTGCCGCCGCCACTTTAATCGTCTGCACACCCTGCACACCCTGCACACCCTGCCCTACCCTGAGGCTGCATGGGGGCGGCCCAGTAACCAGCATCCCAGCTACCAAACATCCCAGCAATCCGCCGCTTCTTTTCTTGTGCCTGCCGAAAAGAAACCTTCCTCCCTGCTACTACCGCGGGCGGACCAGGCGCAGGGGTCGGAACGCCTCCACAGTCATGGACGGACAGACGGACAACGCGCTGTGATAGACTGACACAGAGCTCACAGATGCTCACTGCCCAATCCGGCCTCCTCAACCGCCTCTCTGCCCCCCATGCCATGCCGCGGAGCGCCCCATCTCGCCCATCTCACCCATTCACCCTGTTCAGCCATCGAACGACTGCGATATGCCTTCCCCCCTCCTACTCCGAGTCTCTCTTGTCATTCACAGCTTAAATATCCACATTCCTCCAGTCGAGGTAAGAAAAATAAAAAAGTTGCAAGACAAAGTCCCAGGTTCGATCACTCTCAAGTTCAACACTGTTGACATCAACCACACATATCAACGGACTCAAGCAGAAGCAAAGCAGAAGCAGCAGTAGCCTCCCGCAGTCCGCAAAGCCCCATCCACCACAATGGCGTCCATCTCGCCGCAGCCCGCTGGCTCGTCGCCATCCCCCGTGGTGGACGAGAAGCAGACGGCATACATGGAGGTGGCCAAGGTCCAAGCTTCTAGCGACATCGAGTCCCAGATCCCCGCAGAGTTTGAGGCCGAGTATGAGGAGAGGAAGCGCCTGGGCTTCGTCCGCTACACTGCCCTCAACGTCTACAGGCGTCTCTTCAGCTTCATTTTCATCTGCAATGCCATTGCCTTCATCATCATCATGTACAAGGGCCCCTCCTCCATGGCCCTCGTCAGCGCCTCCTCCGTCAACCTGATGGTGTGCGGTCTCTGCCGTAACCCCACCTGTGTCAACATGGTCTACCGCATCTTCACCTCCGTCCCCAAGTCAGCGCCCATAAGAATCCGCCGCATAGCGTGCAAGGTCTTCCACATTGGCGGTTTCCACAGCGGCTCCGGCATTGCTGCCGTCGTCTGGTACATTGGCTTCTCAGGCGTCTACACGGCCCAATGGACCGCCAGCCCCGTCAACATCGTCATCCTCGTCTTGGTCTGGACCGTCCTGGCCTTCCTCCTCTCCATCGTCTTCGTCGCCTACCCCATCTTCCGCGCCAAGCGCCACGACTACTTTGAGCTCACCCACCGCTTCTCCAACTGGATCATCCTCGTCCTCTTCTGGGGCGTCATCCTCGTCATGAGCTCCCAGGCCGCCAACATGGGCATCTTCCTCGTCAACGCGCCCGCCTTCTGGGTCCTCATCGTCATCACTGTCGCCACCGTCTGGCCCTGGATGCAGCTCCGCAAGGTCGAAGTCGTGCCCGAGCACCTGTCGGACCATGCCGTCCGCCTGCACTTCAAGCACACCCCCATAAAGTTCGGCAAGGGTCTCATGATCGCCAGCCACCCCCTCAAGGACTGGCACGCCTTTGCCACCTTCACGGATAAGTTCGACACCCCCGGCTCCGAGTTCTCGTGCCTTGTCTCCAAGGCCGGCGACTGGACCAAGAAGACCATCAACGAGAAGCCTACCCAGCTGTGGAAGAAGGGTGTCCCCACATACGGCTTCGGCTACGTCATGCGCGTCTTCCACCGCATCATCTGCGTCACCACCGGATCCGGCATCGGCCCCTGCCTGTCCTTCATTGAGAGCGACCAGGCACCCAAGATGCGCGTCATCTGGCAAACCAGGAACGCCCTCAAGACATATGGCGAGCGCACGCTCGAGCTCGTCAAGAGAATGGACGAGAACCCCGTCATCCTTGACACATCGGTGCTTGGCCGCGTCGACATGGTTCCCATCATCCTGAGACTGTTCAAGGAGTTTGATGCCGAGGCCGTCTGTGTCATCAGCAACGCCAAGGTGACCAAGGATGTTGTATACGCTCTGGAGCTTAGGGGTGTACCTGCCTATGGACCTCTCTTTGACTCTTAAGCGGGTCGATCGAGCTTTAAGTTTGTTGGATGAAGTCAACCAGCCAAGCCTGCTTCAGGGATGGATTGACACAGGGGGGAAGTAGTAGCAGTATATCAGGTGGTTGTTGTATGAAGTGTGGTTGCTCGCCAGGGCTAACAAAAAAAGGCCGGCTTTTGCTACAAGGATATGTATGCGTTTTTGCCCCATGGCCCTGGCGAGGATACTAAGTAAGGGGGGTTGATGATTGGGGGGTTTGCTGGTTGTATAAAGGCATTCCTTCGTTAATCGCCCTTTACTCTATGACTTTTCTTTTTTTTCTTTTTCGGATTTGATGATTTCATTTAGTGTGGTGAGACAGGGTAGTCGGAGGGTCATCCAGCATTAGTCACTTAGAGCATAAATTTGATTTTCATAGACAATTCAAAATATGGGGCGTGGCCCTTCTTCATAGTCATTCTTCTTTAGCAACTGCAGGTTCAATAGGTATTGATCTGGTATGATATAAGAGTACTCTCCCTTGCTATGCAACAGTTGACTTGTCTTACAACCTGGCCATTGATGCTACAACCTACTAGCAGTAATCCATGAACGGTCTGTTGAGAAAGGGGTCACCGTCAGTCCGTGCCCAAAACATCATGCCGGCGACCTACTTATCACAGCGAGGTCATACATACCGTGACCGTCTCACATATCTTTTCCTAGCATTACAAATTGAATTGGAGAATAATCAACACGTTACGGATTACTGTTTTTTAGGCAAAACATATGGGCGACCCCGGAATCGAACCGGGGTTTGTTCGGTAAGTGAGCAAGGCCACAACGAACCGTCCTGACCACTAGACTAGTCACCCAATCATCTGATGATTGATGAACTTTGTGAGGGTTTTGTGGCATAAGACAGGCCGTGAGAAATGTGTGGGTGGGGTACCCATCAGTATGTGCTCCATCTCCGTCATCGGTGTTTTCTCCACACTTTATCATGGAACATATTTCTCCCTATTTTTTTCGATATGAACCCAGACTTTGAAGCAGCCGTGGCAATTTGGCTTCGCTTGCATTGACTAAAACCTTTAATAAACGTTGACCATTCATTCTGTCTATCCGGTCAGATGTATTCATTGGCGACTGATGCCAGGCAGCCTTTGGGACCTGAGTCAGGTAAGATTTGGATATATTCGCCAACACAATGAAAAGGTTGACTTCGCTGTAGTCGTAAAACTCTCCTGTTTTAGTTTCTGTAAACAAACTGCCTCTTTTGGGTGAATAGACGGTTGACGGTGGTCTGTGGCCTTCTCTTTCATTATTAAGCCAATCTTGAAAACTGCATTACCACTTGGAGATTAGTAATGAAGATACCAGTGTGGTGGCGAGCGGGCCGAAGCCGTGATACCGCGATCCACCCGCTGCAGGTGGGCGTTTAAAGCCGGCCAACCCCCGCATTAGAATCTCGCCCTGGATCTGACAATCGGCATCAAATTCACCCAACCCAGCCCAACAACGTGCCTTACCTAACCTACATACCACAAAGATCAAACCCCAACATCTGACATATATCTTGTGTATCATTACACAAACACGTTACTTATCCGACTCTAAACAAAACAAACAAAAAATGACGACAGGAGTCTTCCGCTACACCGACCCGACCACCATTTCCCGCTCCACCGAGTCCTTCATCAAAACATGGTCCAAAGTCGACGTCGACTACTCCTCCTATAAGCGCCTTGAGCGCAAGCGCTCTGTGACCAACCTCTACGCCGCCGCTGCCGCCAACGGCACAACCTTCGGCACCGACGTCTCTGGCTTTGCCGTCTACGCCTCCCCCTCTACCGAAAAAGCCTTCGTTTCCGACTCCGCCGTCCGCACCGGCTACTACCCCGAGGTCGAAGCTCTCATCCGCTCCAAGCTCGGCCCCAAGGTGAAGAAAGTAGTAATCTTCGACCACACCATCCGGCGCAACGACGCCTCGGCCCCCCGCCAGCCCGTCCGCCAAGTCCACGTCGACCAGACCCCCGGCGCCGCCGCCACCCGCGTGCGCCGCCACCTCCCGCCCGACGAGGCCGAGTCCCTACTCAAAGGCCGCTACCAAATCATCAACGTCTGGCGCCCCATCGGCCACGCCGCCACGGATTTCCCGCTCGCCGTCATCGACTGGCGGACCACCTCACCAGAAGACCTCGTCGCCGTCGATCTGCTCTATCCCAAGCGCCAAGCCAATGGTGACGACGACGATGACGACCGCGGAAAGGAAGTGCTCCCCGATGCGGCGAGCCTCGCGTCGACGGATGGGTACGAGGTCAAGGGCGAGACGTACGGGATCCTACCGAATGGCCGGCACAAGTTCTACTACGCCAAGGACATGACGCCTGATGAGGCTATGTTCATCAAGTGCTTTGATAGCCGGAGCGAGGGGCAGCCCGGAGGCAAGCAGGGGGTGGCGGCGCTGACGCCGCATACTGCCTTTGTTGACCCGCAGACGCCGGCGGGGACGAAGCCGAGGGAGAGTATTGAGGTGAGGTGTTTGGTGTTTTATGACTAGAACAATCGTTTTTTGGGGTTGTGGGGATGGATTGTTTGGGTAAAGGTGAAGTGGTTTGAATTTACCTTCCCAATGTGTCAGATCAACTATTATTCACCTCATAGACAAAAGCCTCAGTTTGCAGCAGAGAACCTCAAATACAGTCATGCGAATATACCATGGGGATGGATAGCCTTCCTCTTTGATTGTGTAATCTATTAATAACCAAGTAGATAAACTTATGCCCCTTCATCCAAGTATCTACCTATATCCCAACTACCTGTGACACCTATATGCCAGAGCTGGCAATAATAATGCTGCCCTTTCTCTATACCTTGAACCCATATTGAATCTTATCACTGGGATAAAACCCCGCTATCCTTGCGCCATTACTTCGTCCTCTCGTATCGCCATAGACCCCTTTGCTTAAACTGTCGCATGCTGTACTTCATATTCCTCTTTCGCCTGGGTATTACCGAGTTGCCCCTCTTTCCTCTGCTGTTCTGTAGTTCTATCATGTGCACTGCACATTGTACTATATCCATCGTGAGTCAACATGCACGCGCGGCGGTGCTGTAAACCCAATATTGCGCGCACCGTCTGAGTCTCTCAAAGACCACTACGTCCTTTTTCTAATCTCCATCTCTTCCGAGTGTACGATCTGGGCCAAAGTACGGAGTTCCCTGGCTCGGGGCCATCTGCGCAGTAGATTCGTTACTTCGTTTGTCATCGTTATAAACCTCCTGCCGATCCCGCCGTTCCCGTTGCTCCTGCCGCTCCCATGGGGTCTGTTGTGGTATGTTCGTAATCGATATCGTGTCCAATGCTATGGAGGTGGATTGGTTGCTAAGACTGCTACCCAGCGTTGGGAACACACGAACAAGCAGAGCCCGGAGGCAAGGTAGGCATGCACATATGATGGCGACATTCGTTTCAATAATGCTAAATGATAATGTTAGCATGACTTGGAAAGGAAGAAACATCGGGTTAAGACAAAGCATGCCTCCAAACAAAGTTGATTCCGAACCGATAGGTAGCCTCGGGGTCGCCAAAGCCGGTCACAACAATAACAAACCGCAAGACACTAATCCCAAGGACACTGGCTGAGTGTTAGCATTACCGCACAACTGGAGAGCCAGAAAGAGGAAATCCTCACAATCCGCCGGTTCCCAAAATAGCCGCAAGCGCAGCCTTTTGCGCGAACCCTACGCTCAACGGCTTAAGAAGCCATATGGGCAAAAGAAGCAGTATGAGGTCAGTGGCGACGTTCAATGCAACCATTGTTCCGTACCATGGTTCGGGGTCAATGCAGGAGCCGTCCGAGAAGGTCCAAAACTTGGAAATCGGTCTACAGGCGTACAGAATCGTGGTGGCCCCAAGGAAGTTGTGGCTGATGACCATAAATAAAATCACGTATACTGCGATATTGAAACGTCGGCTTGTCGAGAAGCGCAAATAGAAGACGAGGATAGATGATTTGGTGAACAGGCTGGCTAGGTAGCCCGTGATGTTAGTCGGAAAAGCGCCCAGCTAGAGATGAATGACGGTCAGCGTCGAGGGGTGCAAGCAGTAACGTGTGAAAGGAATACCCACGAGCATGTATGTATGCAACGTCTGGTGCCAGTCATCTGCCATCGATATCCAATCAAAGTATTTCATGCCGAGACCATATTTTGTTTCTGTAAGCGCCGAGTCAGTGAGTGCCCGACACAACAGCCCCCTTCTCATGACACGTACGGAAGCCTAAGCTGATGGAATAGCCAATCGAGAATATCTAGATAAGACGACGAGTGAGCGTGAGCGGATAGCAGACGGCGACGATACCGGCAGAATCCAAGATGGGACGTCATACCAGCGCAACGAGGATGAGCCCTAGAGCACACGTCAGCAGCTAGACTACCTTGTAGAGTGGTATGGGTATGGGTCGCACGCGGCATACGTACAATCGTCCTTGTGGATGTGACGGATGATGGTACGGGCCGTGTAGAAGCGCAGGGCGACAAAGACGAGGGCAAAGGCGGGCGAAATGCCGCCGGCCAAGATGATGTTTTTGACGACATTCCCCCCCATCACATTCCCAGAACCAGGCGCCATCGTAGTGGTGAGTCGACAGACATGGTGCGAGTGTCAAGCACTCGTCGAGTAGGCGTAGGTTGTCATCATGTCAGCTTTGTGCAGCGCAGCGCGCAATCGTGAACATGGATGGAAATGGAGATGGAGACAGTGGAGGCTCGGACTGTGGGGGAGAAAGATGTTTTGGATGCTTGGTGGGCGGTCAACGAGGCCATGCCATGGATAATGAATGACGGAACAGACAGAGCTTGCAAAAGGACTTGAAGGACTCGAAGGATGGATGGGCATTGATTGGGTCCCCACCTTGGTCTCCATTCCAATCTGCCGACGCTGAGACGGGTGGACAAGACTATGAGTGACTGACAGACGCGCGAAGTTGGAAGGGGTTAGACTTTGGTAAACTTGTTGACCGGTCCTTTCCCAAACAGTCTCGCTTTGCACCAGGTCATTTGCTAGTCGCACTAGGAAGCTCTGTGATTGGCCTGTGACCCGGTTGCACTTCCCCGGATCCAGGGGTAAGACACTTGTTACCGGGGCCGCGGGACAAGCGTCGACCAGGGCCAGCCAGGGCTTTGCCATTTCAAAAGGTTTCAGCGGCCGCCGGGCATCGTGGTGACGGATCGATGGGTTTGTTTGCGCCAATGTTGCCTACACCAAGCTTGGAAGTTCAGACCTTTCCCCTTTTGCCGTCGTCGGCATCCATTCACGGTACCGCAGGCTCTTGGAAATAACAACTGTGGGTCGGGGAGTTTTCATAGCCAAGACGCTGTCAAACTCTGACTTGCTAGGGTAATTGGCCGGGGGGGGGCCAGTCAGCCCCGGCTTGTTTTGGCTGCGTTGGGTGAAAAAAGTGGATGAAGGTCGGCCGGGCCAGCTTGGCGGGGAAATTAGGCCGTAAAAGGCCTAATCTGGGGGATCCACCGAGCCAGGCAGATCTTCTGACCCTCAGTTGTTGTTTCCAAGAGCCTGCGGTAGTTTGCCTCGTGATAAGCAGGGCCGCTGGGGGAGCCATGCCGATATGTATCTGTATTGCGTGCGCATTGCAGCGTCGTATTCGCCATTCCACCACATTGGGTTGCAGCAATCACGATGCGTCTAGATGAGACAAAGCTTAAAAGTGCACCCCAGTCGGGTGGGAAGGCCAATTTGTCGGTATTCTGGAGTGCGATGGTCAAAGGTTGGGAGCGACCAGCCCATTTCTTCGCTGCTGAAGTCTCGTTGAGCTGTTGGACGCCTCAAAGTCTGACAAGTTTGGTCTGT